CCTGAAGGGCGTTTGCGGTGAGGGCATTATTTGAAGCGTTAAAATAACGTTCAAATACTTTGCTCAGTAGTTCATCCTGAAACAAAAAGCACTCTTAATTTATGCAAAATTCAAATCAGAAAAAAAGTAGTTTATAAACTTTCAGTTGCTGTTGCACTCCATTCCTTGGCTGGATATTCAGGCCAAGTCAAGTAAATTCTTTTCTCACACAAACGGACAGTTGCGCTGAAGACAAACATAAGTAGTATCTATGTTAACATGCAAATGTGGATAATTTTATCCCTGTCTGTATATGTTGTCGTGTGACTTGGATAAGTAGTACAAATGAACACAGTAGTGCACTATCCAATTTTAAAAGAAGCGGCTCACGAGATGTAGTACCTCGGATTGCCATGTTTTGAATGTTGTCAGGCTCTTTGTTATCATAGGTCGTTCTAAAAAATGCCATTTTGCTTCCTCTGTTGTTGCTTAAGGTCTACCTGCGAAAATAAGGCCCTCATAATCCCGCAAAGCGCAGGTAGCACTTGAAGACAAATGACACGCAGTGTGCATTGCTGTTCAGCGTTCACATAACCGTGCTTACTTTATCATAATAATGTTCATTTTTATGCTCTACATGCTGTCACTGATGGGTACCATCCAAATATATTTAGTTTTCCCATATGCCTAAGTTGTACTCTGCTTACCTGTTGATGAGAATGGCATTTTAGCGGTATAAATGCTTCGCTTTCCACCATGCTGCTCTTCCGCAAGACCACAACGCATTCTGGCAAGAATCGACGAGCTATCAGTTAAAACATGGCATGTAAAGAATTGTTGAACGCGAGATGAACTGTGAACACACGCCTAGACCTCATTCTGGAGGTTTTACATTCGTGCTGATGATCATATCCATAAAATAATTACAAAATAAAGAAAAGAACAGCCTGCAGCCTTGCCACACAATTTCCTGTATATTACCCCTCTATCTTCAATTGGGTTACCAAGTCGTGAGCCGTTTTAGGGCCTTCAAGCTAGCGTATAATTTGTTCGCGCTTCATCTGCATGTTACACGAACGCCAGAAGGAATGACGGTATGACTTATAATGGTGCTGCCTCGACGATGGCCGTCTGAGATGTCTCAAACACTATGTTTTGCCAATTTTCGGCATCTGAGTTCAAGACGCTTTGAGTGTACGCTCTAGTCGCTGAATTTAATATTCAATGTGGCATTTCGACCACAAGTGATGTGTTGAAGCGTTGTAATCGCTCCCTTTGCCTCGCACTTCAAGAGGCTGTTAGCATTCGGTTCAAAATTTTAGCCTATGAATGTTACTGACAGAGTTTTTAAGACTCTTCTTGTATGACTAGGAGTAATATTCCAGTACGCAGAGTAGTCGGTTCTCCGTTTCATCTGTCTTTATTGGTGATTGCTCTAATCTACTCTGCATTTTGGGCGCCTCAGTCTGGCAGTTTCTAAAAATGGATTCATGTACGTTTTTGAATAATTACTTTTTCTAATCAATCATTTTTTTTGTTCTGTTAATTTCGGTTCGATAATTGTGTTTTTATAGTTAAATGCTTGATACCATATTCCCTGTTTAGCAGCAAAATGATTCGCAGGTTGTATTGTTCCCGCGAAGCTCTCCAAATGCTCAGTTAGCCCGCCAGGAAACCTTCCTCCATCGACTTTCAGGAAGATGTCAGAAATTGTTATGTTGCTCGACGCTCTACGTCAAACAAGACACAATTCGCCATTTAGGCTGGCAAACCACTCTAGCTTCCTATCGCCCTACATCATCTCTTCCAGCGTTCGCTCCGTTCGGACCAAACGTAGCGAGATTGAGGCAGCTCTCCACATGAGACGATTTACAAATGCTTCAGTAATCGTAGCTCTCCTCCATGAGTCATGAATAAACAATCAAATACAGGTTTCCACTGTACAGCTTGGTGGCTTTGAATCCTTTCAGATGGACCG